GTCTTGTCTTCCTCTTTACTGTTGTATATAAGTTTTGATCTCGGCTCAGGGCGATTCGCCCATCTTTTGCTTTCGGGATCTTTGTCTCGGCCTCAGCCCGCACCTGTTTTGCGATTGATCTTGATCTCGTTTATTGTGTGTTTTGCCGAATAATATGGATTTTTCTTTGTGAATGAATAGATGATATGCTTTGTCGCTTTCCTTCTCGTTTTTGCTCATGTGGAATGGTGAACGCGGGGAAAGATGATGTTGGTTGCGATGTTTTGATGTATACGTCACTTGCATAGGTACGAAACGGTTGCTGATCAAGGATTTGCTGAATGATTGAATGTGCCACGTGGCGATTATGCATATAGGGCTAAAATTCTACTTCTTGCAGCCCACAGACTCACGTACGATCGAACACTGTGTGCGCACATGTGTAAGCGAGGATTGATCAACGCGGCTTACACGTGTCCACACTCGGCGATTCGCGATCATTGACGAACTTAACACTTATAATATCGGGATAGCTGCGGGAACTTTCCGCAACCATACCCGGAAATTCCCTGTGTTAAGGAGCGCCTTCCTGCTAGAATGACAAGATATCACGCACCACGGACCAGGGATATATAGAGCACTGGGAAGGAGAATATCTGAGACAGAGGTACCCGTAATTTCCCTGTCTAACCGGGAATCGACTGTGCGCCAGGGAATTTCACCATGCCATAACCAGCGACCCGAGGGGTCCCGACGACCCGACTACTTACAACACGCAATATGTCATATCCCCCGGCTTCGTCGTTATCGCCACCAACTTACCTCCCTTTCATCTTCTCCTCCCCTATCATCAACTCACAGTGGTTCCGTGGAATTCCATAGCCCGGAATTGCAGACTACGCGGCAACCGTCGAGCCTCGGGAATCACGGAGCCACACTGTAACGCACGACGTCGATCGACATGTGTCCACACCCGAAGGACAGACTCATAGAAATCGCCATCCTCACGGACGGACCTCATTCCGAACCGCCGTCATTAAAACGGGCGGACCGGACGATGCAAGACGCACAGTGCATGCCAATTGCCTTATTAACGCCAGCCGCGATCAGACCAGAAGTACCCCGTCCCTTATCCTTATTGCACTAATGCCCCTGAACCCCTGTCACAGCCTCATAGGAGATCTCAGTTCTGACCTGGGACTCCACCCCCAGTTTCCCAAAAATCCTTGGCACACCCCTTTTCGCACCTCCAGGCCCACATGCCACTCCGATCAGGAAGTCGCGCCGGGCGTGAGGTTGGGCGTCACAAGCCATTTTCCTTTCTTTTACCCAATCTGTCTGTTCCTTGTCACTGAGCTTCGTTGTTCGATGGGTGTCTTGGAGAAGTCAGTCCCTCCTTCCTTCACTCAAGCTTTGTTCTTTTCCTCTCTGTCTTGTTCTGTGGTCTTGGAGTTGCTGCCAAAGATGTCGCCTGACCAGGTCTTGTGAGTATCTGTTATCTGGACTGAGTAGCGTCAAATTCAGTTATCTGGAGTAAAAGGTCGGGGAACCGGGTGCGGGGGGGGGTTAGTGGGGGTGGGTTTTGTGGTGGAGGGGGCGGTGGTGAGGGGTCCAGTGG